TGCATGAGCTAAACACGTGAAAAACGCTGTTACTTTATACCTGTGACTCAGCAGAGGCCTGGCTTCAACCTGACACCTCTCAGTGTCAGAACTGCCTTTACAGAGCAGCACAGTTTAGGGTAGTAGACTCTGTCTTTTCACAGTGTAGTTCAAACTGTGATTTTCATTAGAGCTCAAACAATAAGTTAGCTAATGCATTCATCGACATGTGATTAACAACACAGCGGCTTCTCCTATGTGACATGTTCTGATGTTCTTATATCACTTTAGGTTGATTACAGTATCTGTGGGTTTTGAACTATTGGCCAGGCAAAATCTGAAGACATCTTGTGATTTAGGAAATGGAAACTGCCATTTTCACTATTTTCTGACATTCTGTTGATTAAATGATCAATCAAGTTATTGAAGAACCTAATGAAAGCAATCGCCAGTTACAGCAGCCTGTAACTCTGCAGTCCTCTCCTCTGGCTGCACGGTCACACAGCAGTGGATGGTTTTCCTGTTTAAATGAAGCAGCAGATAAAACTCAGGCCTTTGCAGCTTTTTACTAGATCACTTGATGTGTTGAGGCCTGTAACATGATTCAAATGAAACAAGTCACTGGTCGCAAATGCTATAATCAGGTGTAGGTTTTTGTTTGAGGGATGACAAACACGGCTGCAAATGGAAGCCCGTCGATGTCTGACTGAGGAAACAAGGCATTTCTTCAGCTCTAATGACTCTTCTCGCTCATGGGGCTGCGTTACTTTGAGTGAGAAGACCTGCGATGTGTTCTTTCTGTGGTCTTAATGCTTGATACCACTGTGACCGACACTTCAGTGTGTTTGCAGCATGATGTTGTGTGTAATGCCTGCCAGGCACAAATGGTTTGGTTCCACTGTTTCTGACTGAAGAGAGGCTCAGAACCCATCTTTTCATCTGTGCTTTGCCTGCGAGGCCTGAACAAGGCTCCTCCAGCTTTATGATTCATTTCATGAGTAATGTCACGTGGTTCACTAGAGACTAATTCTGCACCAGCTCTGTTCAGTTCAGCTTCCGCTACAATGAAAGCACCATAAACATATTCAGAAAAAAGAAACTCGGTGTTTTTATTATTGTGACAAATATTCACGAGTAGATGAAGCGGTTTGGTTCAATGTTATGTAACCCGGCCGAGGCGTCACACGACGACGGCGATGATGGTCACATCTCAGCTCGCCGCCTCACACACACAGTCACTGAGCATCCCTGCCTGTCTCCTGTTGCCATGACAACGGGAGGCAGTAAATCCCAACTTGACTACAGCATAGATTGTGCAAAAGACACTTTACACCTCCTGAGAAACACACTCACATCTGAGATTATGGACAAACAGTGTGTTTTGGGGCAGATTGGTGTGTGTGTGTCCTGATTCTGCTCCTCAATCATGCATTGAACAGGCAAACTAAGTCATGACTTAGTGAGACGGTGAGGAAGAAAACAACAAAAAGAAAGAGAAAGAAAGGACAGAAGGAAGAAAGAAAAGATGCAAAGGAAATGACAGAAGAAAATAAAAGGAGGGAGCAAAATAAAGGAAAGAAAAACATGGAAAGGAAAAGGAAGCAACAGATAAAGACAAAAAGGGAAAGAAACCAAAGATAAGAAAATATAAAGAAATGTAAGAATATGGCAAGGAACAGACAGGAAAGAAAGAGCAAGGAAACAGAATGAGCGGATAAGGCAGAGGAAAAAAGAGCAACAAGGAAAAGGAAAGGAAAGACGAAGGAAGATGAGAATAGGAAAGGATGCCTTCCTTTGCAGCCTGCAGAGGATGCCTGTTTCAATGCATGCAGGATGAGCCTGGTTCCAGTCTGGGATCCAGTCTGGTCTCACATCTGACATACCAGATCTATGTCAGGACCATGTTTGGTTTGGGTCCAGCCTGTACTGGACTACACAGAACCACCTGGTCACTTGCTGCTCCATATGCGCAGCGAGGCAGCAGCACAGCAAGCAGGGCTTGCTGGTTCAGTTCCCACTGGGAGTACCGGTTCATGCACTTCGGGTTTCTGCTCTAAACGATCAACACTATCCTGTAAACAAACGGCCACGCATTAGGCCCAGCTCCCGGTGCAGCGCTCTTACCTTCACACACGAAGCCGATGAGCCCCCAGATGAAGTCGCTGCAGCTGTGACAGAAGGTGGGTTTGGTCAGGGTGACTTTCTTGAAGCAGTGTCCCGGTGCCGAGCTCTGGTACTTGGGCCCGAGCCCGGGAGACTGCTGCGCCCTCCTCTTCACGGTCAGGGGGCTCGATGTCCGGCTGTCCGCGGCGTCAGGGTCCGCTGCTCTGGCCCGGCCAGAGTCGGCCATGTCCTCCCCACACAAACTAACCGAGAACACAGGGTATGACTAGGTTCGAAAAGCCGGATTTCTAGATAATCTTCCGCCTCCAGTGGTGAGACATCCCACCACCAAGCCGGACACGGCACCGAGCTCGGTGCGAATCCCGAAGCGGACCCGCTAATTAGGTCCAGGTCCAAAATTACAGAGTAGGATTTTGGGTCGCGACCTTGTGTTCCAAACAAAATTCGTTTTCTGGTAAATGTGACTCTGCAAACCCCCAAAGGAGCGAGCAGTGGACGCAGCGGTGCCACCAGGCGGTGCTTCGCGGCGGAGAGGGCGCCTCGGTCGGTGTCTCCCGGAGCCTCTCTTCATAGGCCAGCTAAATATCCATCTCCTGATATTATTGGTGTGTCCATCTCCTTAAAACTCAGACCAGGTGTTCCAGAGAGGCAGAAATGTTCGGTTCTCAAGTGTTTCCGACGTCGTTTTCTTACGATGGAGAGATGATCCACCACGCCGCGATAGGAGTCCCTCCGCCCGTAGACAGCGGTGCCACCCAGCGGCGCTGCACGGAGGACAGGGCGCCGCGCTCGTTACGCTTCCCGGAGCTGCTTGCTTGGAAAGCCGAATGAATAAAAGATGAAATATTGATTCAGGAAAGCTGGGTGCTGAGTGTCTGCGGCGGTAAGAAGGCGGAGATGGATGGGTGATGTTATTTCCAGTCACCAGTCCCAGCCTGTTAGCCAGTCAGTCTCGCAGCCCGTAGCCAGCAGCTCCAGACCCGGGGGAAAACACGACAAACCGGGTGGGAAGGTTTCCGGAGCCCCGCCGCAGGGCTGGAGGTGAGCTCTAATCAACAAGTGTGATTCCAGGCTGAGAGGCTGCTTTCCCTTCACGCTTCTTCTTCCTTCTCCGAAGCTCATTCCTCTTCCGCGTCAGTCTCCAACACTGATTTACTCCTCCTCCCTCCCCTTCATCCCCTCTCTCTCCTTGTCTCCTTCCCTTCCTCCCTTTCTTCTCATCATCTCGGTACTTCTGAATCCCATTAGTTGTTTCCTAACCAACAGCTTACCGTCACCTTTCCTTCCTCTTTCCTGTTTTTCTTCACTCAGCCTCTGCTGTTTTTCTGATAGATGGCACAGGCTTTAGAAGCTCCTAAAGTGAACTGGCATGACCTTTTGTCAGACTTGCCTGAATGCAGTAACAAAAAGCTTGGGTTCTGTTACAAAACACTTGCACATGTGCAGAGGCTTCTCTTCTTGCACAACTGTGTCATGATCATGCTGCAACAGGGGTCAGAGGTGGAAGAAGTGTTCAGATTTCTTACCTGCTCTGTCCTGATAAACCTGCTCTGAACAGTGGAACATGTGGAAAAGCTGCAGTAAATGAAGTAGGATGAGCTGGCGATGGTTGCTCGGTCACTGTGAGACTCTTTATTCAGAGCACGCCATCCCGCAGCCGTCCCTTTCTCTTAACACAATGTTTATAAACAGGAAATGGCTCAAAAGAATAGTTTCCAAATGTAAATGTTCGGGGGAACACCCTGTGTTTACATGGTGCACCCTGCACAGTCTTATTTCAACGGTCTACTTCTTCACACATCAGAAGGTTCCCAGTATCACTGTCTTTTGTTTTTAGCTTATGTCTTGAACACATTCACTAACACTGACAACTAACATCACTGTTTAGCATAAAAACTGAAGCAGTAGCGTTGCGTGATCTGTTCCATTTATTTTGTAATCTACACATGCATACGCACATGTATACAAACCAGTGGGTCTACTGGTTGGTAGACTGAGTGACCAGAGGGATGACCTGTGCCGAGTCCACTTTCCTTTGGAAGCCTGCACTTGTCTGTCTTTCCTTCCACTGGTGGACTGTGGCTGATCTGGGAACCAGCTAATAACGATTAACAATAGAGTCCTAACACGTACCCTTTGTTGCTGTGAGGTACATCAGCAGGTGGAGGAGGTGGGGGGGTCAAAGTTAATGCTTCACTTTCAACCAGTCATAGCCATGCTGGTGTGTGGGAAGTTGGTCAACAGCTGGTGGTCATGCTACTAGCTGTTGTGTTGTGCCAGCACTGCCAGTCAAAAGAGGTGGGGTCAAGGGTAACGCCTGTTAAGTGACCCATCATGTTGTCTCAGCTACTGTCCAGGGTGTACCCTACCTCTCACCCCCAACCCCCCCACAGCCCTCGTTAGGATAAGCAGTACAGATAACGGATGGATGGATACCTATTATTTATTTATATTTATTCATTTTCCAGTGTTTGACTAATCTTCTGATTATTGCCTTGATGATTATCTTCTATTCACTGAATGTCAGTGGCCCCTGCAGTTGTTGTCTCTGGATTTTCTTCTAATTTGCCACCATCTGTATCTTGTGAATGTTTTGCAGAGGGCTTCATGTTTGTCCTCCACCAGAGCGCAGAGCTGCACTACCTGAACCTGACCACCAGGGGTCAGTGTGACACAGCGCCTCCCAGCAGTTTGAACGTTTATCGTGCACATGTTAATGATCTCAGCACGTTTAACATTTACTTCATTAAAGATAAACACACAAATCATTCACTGAAATTAGTGCTTTATACTATGAAGTTAGTTTATTTGCTCCATTAGTTTCATAATTATTACCCCAAACACGTTTTTGCCTTTCATTTAACACACTCTCATGTTTACACAAATTACAATTTTTTAGATTTAGAAATCAGCAGCCACTGAAGTATGTGACTAATAAAAGTACCAATACCTCAGAGTAAAAATGCATGTTTCCCTGACCACCAGGTGACAGTGCAGGCCACCACATACACTGCTGCAATTGATACAGCCTTGACCTTTATTGACAGAATTCACAAGAAACACAAACCGTTAAGAGCTGATGACAGAAACAGCAGCCTCCCATGAAACTCTGTCACACCTGTTGGGTTGTGCACTAAATGTTTCGTTATGAATTCATTTCTTTTTTAATCATTATTGACATTAAAATAACACAACACTGGGGAAATACAGGAGAGTGTTTCAATAAAGAGCAAACATGACAGAGAATGAAATTAAAATCAGTAAGAAAAAGCTGTGCAGCCTCAGGGCCAGACTTTTCTATAATGCAACAGATCAGACTTTGTCCAGTCTTTCTTCTCTGTTACCACTTCCTGTTTTCACAGACTAACATCGGGCACTTTCAGTGGCTGACAAGAAGAAGTCAATGGAATCGAAACCAGAAAAGTGACTCAGTTCAATTCCATTTTATTTGTATAGCACCAAATCACAACAAAAGTCATCTCAGGACACTTTACAAACTAAGGTCTAGACCTTACTGTTATCAATATTATTACATAGGGAAAACCCAACAAATCCCCCTTGAGCAAGCACTTGGCGACAGTGGGGAGGAAAAACTCCCTTTAACGGAA